CCCATATTTTTCGATTTCATCTGTAGTTGTGAATACTGATATCTCTATTCCCCGCTCCCCCTCTCTCTCTCTCTCTCTCTCTACCATCCCTCTTATCTATCTCTACCCCTCCTCTTCTCAATAATCCTTTTCTCTACCTTTCCACCTTCACTCTCTCTTCGTATCCTCTTCTACCCTCTCTTATTCTTCTCGAACTCTTCAATCTGTCAAAAGATGCAGCACGTTATATGCTCTTGCAAATTCACAAGTATAAGTGTATACTGTATTTTTTAATATGTAGTACTGGATATTTAGCATACCTCTCCTAATAATAAGTAGGTTTGTACCCATGCATTTATGTGTTTTCCCCTCGAATATAGATTCTGTTATCTGTACACATGCATATACATTTATAATGTAAAATGAATGTGTAAATAATGATAATACTTTGTACAGTGGCCGTCTCAACCTGAGCTGCTAAAACTCTTTATATACCAAACTGATAAATAAATATTACTACTACGACGACTACCACTACTACTACTACTTCTACTACTCCAACTACTACTACTACTACTACTACTCCAATTACTACTACTACTTCTACTACTACTACTACTACTACTACTACTACTACTACTACTACTACTACTACTATTACTACTACTTCTACTACTACTTCTACTACTACTACTACTACTACTACTACTACTAGTATTAATACTACTACTTCTACTACTACTACTACTACTACTACTACTACTAATACTAATAATAATAATGATAAGAAGAAGAAGAAGAAGAAGAAGAAGAAGAAGAAGAAGAAGAATGGAGTTTAACCTTTAAAGTGCAAAAAGGCTGGGGAGTCTAGACAGCTTAAACAAAATAACATTTCAGATTTCTACAGATTAATTCATTTACAAAAGGAAAAGGATAATGTACGATAATATGATGTTAATAACACAAAGGCATACATTGATAACTCGTAATTCCTAAACTTAAACATTCGAACAGGTAGAAATAATGTTGTACACACATTGATTGTAGACTTATGTCAGTATATCTATTTTGCCTATCACCTCTTAGTCAATAATAATCTGTAATGATCAATATGATACAAAAGTAAGACCCCAATACATTGTTTCCTCAAAAAACTATACCATGGAAAAATAACAAAAACTAAGTTATCGAAGATAGAATTAATTGAAAATATGTACAGTACTTTTAAAACTCTTAAATAACAGATATTAAGAAAGAATTCATGTAGATATGTCATTGCATCAACAATTTTTGTACCATTCATTGATGCACATTCAATAAATTTAATGATAATTGGAGGTGGATCAAGGGGGACCTGTGATTTAAAAATCATTCAGTTGTGTTGATCAGTTAAACACACAAATTGGCAGCACTTGTGACGTATCTTGCGAGCTCCTCTCCGATCTTTTTCTCCAGAAAATATCATAAACTGCCATTTTCTTCGTTGTTGATGACGGAATAGACTTGTCTCGTACGGGAGTTGTATAGGGTGTACGTATAATTGACAATTTTCTTAATGGAAAATATTTTGGTAAAAGTTTATTAGCTAGTACAGGGCCGTTGTCCCGGAGGAAGTTGTCCTAGATGATGGTTGTCGTATGATGTAGTTGTCTGGGGGTAGTTATCTGGGGGCTAGTTGTCCGGGGGTAGTTGTCCGAGGGGTAGTTGTCATTGGGGGTAGTTGTCCTAGGGGGTAGTTGTCCTAGGAGGTAGTTGACTGGGGGTGGTTATCCGGGGGTTGATATCCAGGGGGTAGTTGTCCTAGAACCAGCCTACACATACCGTCTCAAATAACCCAACAATATGCTGTCTTCATTTCTCATGGTCCTTATCACCAATGAAAAACGACACTCAGAAGGACACCGACGATGATGACGTACGACGTGATGGTCGACACGGATGCAGAACACGGAAGGTCGATATCGACACTCGCATCACCGACATCGTTGACCTCCAGCACGACCGATGTACATACGTCAATCGAGAACGAACTCGTGGATCCTAGGAAAAAGAGAGAGAGAGAGAGAGAGAGAGAGAGAGCGAGAGAGAAAAAAAAGGGTTACTGTTTGAGGGAGAAAATGGATAACGTTTGGGAGAGTTGGTGAATTTCTATTGCCCGCCTACCGGTCAATAGTTTTTTTTTTTAAAGATGCCCGTTTCCCCGGGTAACGGTCTGCATAAAAACGTTTGGCCGAGATCCCCATTGGTGAACGTATAAAAAGTTTCTTTGTGCGAGCGCAGATACAAAATACAGTGCAGTGTGTGTGAGATTCCCGAATGAACATAATGTTCAGTCAACTTTCTAGCGAAGATGCAATTTTTTGTATGTATTTTATTCTTCCTTCCCTCACTCTCTCTATATCTGTCTCTCTGTCTCTCTCTCTCTCTCTCTCTCTCTTTCTGTCTAATCATCCCCACTCTCTGTCTTCGTTTCCTTGTCTTTCCATCTCTCTCTCTCCTTCTTCCCCTTCCCTCTTTACCCTATCAGTATATTCCGGTCATTAGTAAAATCATGTTTATATAAAACACCATTTAAAAACAAATAGAACATCGTCTTATAAAACAAATAATACACATCATTTTGTTCGGGCATTTATAGTAAAATTACCCACACTCGGTACCAGTGGCGTACGCATGATTTTTACAAGGGGGGGGGGGGGGTTAAAATCGGGCCCAAAATTTCGCAACGACTCAGCCAGCCGCTGAATAAGCGGGGGGGGGGGGGGGGGGGGGGGGAGGTAAGCGGACACCTTTTTTTTTTGAATCGCAACGACTCAGCCAGCCACTGGTAAGGTCACCTTTTTTTAGGTCAGCCATTGGGTTTTTTTTTTTTTTTTAATTAAAAAAAAAACAACAAAAAAACATACACATAAAAAAAAAAACTCAAGGGGAGATTTAACCCCGAACCCCCTCCCCCCTGCGTACGCGCCTGCTCGGTACCTTCGAAGCAGTCCAAACACCCTCGGCTATTTCCTCGAATGTGTTAGCCTGTTCCAAAGGTACCTTGTGTGGGTAATTCTTACTAATGTCCTCACTGCTGTGTATTATTTGTATACTGATCTATGCATATTATCCCGATTTTTTTTGCACGTTTATAACATGCATATAGTATTTTGTGCAATTCAGCAATATGTAACTATAGTAATTATCCATTGTATTGTATCTTTTCCCGTTTTTGTTTATGTGAATATTGCACTGCTCCAGTTTTGCTTATCTTACCTGTATGCTTTCCCATATTTTTCGATTTCATCTGTAGTTGTGAATACTGATATCTCTATTCCCCCGCTCCCCCTCTCTCTCTCTCTCTCTCTCTACCATCCCTCTTATCTATCTCTACCCCTCCTCTTCTCAATAATCCTTTTCTCTACCTTTCCACCTTCACTCTCTCTTCGTATCCTCTTCTACCCTCTCTTATTCTTCTCGAACTCTTCAATCTGTCAAAAGATGCAGCACGTTATATGCTCTTGCAAATTCACAAGTATAAGTGTATACTGTATTTTTAATATGTAGTACTGGATATTTAGCATACCTCTCCTAATAATAAGTAGGTTTGTACCCATGCATTTATGTGTTTTCCCCTCGAATATAGATTCTGTTATCTGTACACATGCATATACATTTATAATGTAAAATGAATGTGTAAATAATGATAATACTTTGTACAGTGGCCGTCTCAACCTGAGCTGCTAAAACTCTTTATATACCAAACTGATAAATAAATATTACTACTACGACGACTACCACTACTACTACTACTTCTACTACTCCAACTACTACTACTACTACTACTACTCCAATTACTACTACTACTTCTACTACTACTACTACTACTACTACTACTACTACTACTACTACTACTACTATTACTACTACTTCTACTACTACTTCTACTACTACTACTACTACTACTACTACTACTAGTATTAATACTACTACTTCTACTACTACTACTACTACTACTACTACTACTAATACTAATAATAATAATGATAAGAAGAAGAAGAAGAAGAAGAAGAAGAAGAAGAAGAAGAAGAATGGAGTTTAACCTTTAAAGTGCAAAAAGGCTGGGGAGTCTAGACAGCTTAAACAAAATAACATTTCAGATTTCTACAGATTAATTCATTTACAAAAGGAAAAGGATAATGTACGATAATATGATGTTAATAACACAAAGGCATACATTGATAACTCGTAATTCCTAAACTTAAACATTCGAACAGGTAGAAATAATGTTGTACACACATTGATTGTAGACTTATGTCAGTATATCTATTTTGCCTATCACCTCTTAGTCAATAATAATCTGTAATGATCAATATGATACAAAAGTAAGACCCCAATACATTGTTTCCTCAAAAAACTATACCATGGAAAAATAACAAAAACTAAGTTATCGAAGATAGAATTAATTGAAAATATGTACAGTACTTTTAAAACTCTTAAATAACAGATATTAAGAAAGAATTCATGTAGATATGTCATTGCATCAACAATTTTTGTACCATTCATTGATGCACATTCAATAAATTTAATGATAATTGGAGGTGGATCAAGGGGGACCTGTGATTTAAAAATCATTCAGTTGTGTTGATCAGTTAAACACACAAATTGGCAGCACTTGTGACGTATCTTGCGAGCTCCTCTCCGATCTTTTTCTCCAGAAAATATCATAAACTGCCATTTTCTTCGTTGTTGATGACGGAATAGACTTGTCTCGTACGGGAGTTGTATAGGGTGTACGTATAATTGACAATTTTCTTAATGGAAAATATTTTGGTAAAAGTTTATTAGCTAGTACAGGGCCGTTGTCCCGGAGGAAGTTGTCCTAGATGATGGTTGTCGTATGATGTAGTTGTCTGGGGGTAGTTATCTGGGGGCTAGTTGTCCGGGGGTAGTTGTCCGAGGGGTAGTTGTCATTGGGGGTAGTTGTCCTAGGGGGTAGTTGTCCTAGGAGGTAGTTGACTGGGGGTGGTTATCCGGGGGTTGATATCCAGGGGGTAGTTGTCCTAGAACCAGCCTACACATACCGTCTCAAATAACCCAACAATATGCTGTCTTCATTTCTCATGGTCCTTATCACCAATGAAAAACGACACTCAGAAGGACACCGACGATGATGACGTACGACGTGATGGTCGACACGGATGCAGAACACGGAAGGTCGATATCGACACTCGCATCACCGACATCGTTGACCTCCAGCACGACCGATGTACATACGTCAATCGAGAACGAACTCGTGGATCCTAGGAAAAAGAGAGAGAGAGAGAGAGAGAGAGAGAGAGCGAGAGAGAAAAAAAAGGGTTACTGTTTGAGGGAGAAAATGGATAACGTTTGGGAGAGTTGGTGAATTTCTAAGAGAAAAGATAATGATAATGATAATAATAACAATAACAATGATAATAATGATAATAATAATAACAATAGAAATAATGATAACAATAACACTCATGTTTAATCTTAACCGTCCACTGATTATTTTGTAGCCCGGTGCATGCACAGGCGGAGTTATTTTGTTGTCATAGGACTGCGTCGATTAATGCGGTCTCTTATTTGTGAGAGTGATATCGTACAGAAAACAATAACTATAGTGCAAACATTGCTTTGAATTGCTGGCTTATCAGCTAATATCCTCCACGGAATTGTAGATAATAACGCAATCCTCAAGACGCCTCGGGTAAAACAGGAATTAAACTGCTGTCACATTTATTTAGCCTACATACTTAATAATTTACATCAGTATATTCACCTCCAGAAATCAGATATGACGACCCTGTCTCTAACGAACCGATACCGCATGAGCTAGCGGGACTTTGGAGTTCAAGAATCTCATTGACACGAATGGCTTGGGTTGAATTACGATATACTTCTTGTACCCGTACGTTGTATTGCAGATCTTCGTTCAGTGAACGATTGCCGAGAATACTCACAACCGTTCCTTTGATAGCTGTAAGTATGTATTTGAAGAAAAAAAAGAAGAAAGAAATAAGATTCAGAATGACCAAGTCCTGGGAAAGTAAGAAAAATTTACGTGGGTATCCCCGTGGGAAATAGATAGACAAAAGGATGGAGGGGGGGGGGGGGGCACGGGGGGGGGGGGCACGTGCCCCCCAAAATTTCCAAGATCGGTTGAACTTTTTTAGACCCCTTTTTTTTTTACTTCGATCGATTACATGCAGGTGCCCCCCAAACATCAAACTCTGGCTACGTGCCTGGGTTTGATAGGACCCAACCCCAACCTACACGTGCTTCCCTTAAACGGTGCGACGGGGGCAGGATAATTCGTTTTACATTTACCCCGTATAGTAAGATAGTAAGCTGCAACCCACGATGCGCAGGGTCATTGACATTGTCTTACGTTGATTTTCTGAACGTCTTGGCCACTGTGTCAATTATTAATATAAAATCTTTCTCCGCCCATACATACTGGTGGTTTGGGGTGGGGCACAACCAATCATTTCTCTCCTGAACATCAACGGAGCCTCCACTAACGGGCCCGTTCCCTTTTTAGATCCTCGATTTTTTTGTTTTTTTGTTGATGTATCAAAGTTTTCTGGATAAACAAATTATGCCCCACCCCATTTACCAAATCCAGTATCTGCCCCCGGTTCCTGGAAATCAACTTCTGGATACGTCAATTATTGCTTTGTTTTATCTTTCTAAATGTACTATGGCATTTTATTTTAACTGTTCTGTATGAACGTTATGCTTCTTGATGTCAATACCTTCATAATTATTCAGGGCCCCATGGAAGACCACTACTTATTGGTGAATGGGCTACCCTGACAAAAGATTAGAAATAAATAAATAAATAAATAAATAAATGAATAAATAAATTGTAAGATTACCAAAGCTTGAAGAGCAGAAAGTTGGTTCTTCGTCGCAAAGACATTTTGATGTTGGGGCAGTGGTTTTTCTAGACAAAAATAACAAAGTCATAGTTTTACAGACATAATGTAAGACGCACTAAAATTTTACCATAACTTTTAACAATTTCTGTCTCAAACGCAATACAGAAAATTACTACTATATCCCTTTAAACATATTGTCACATACAAATAAAAGACAAAAAACAAAAAACGACAGATTTCTAAGAGAAAAATTCCAGAATATAGAGCACAACTTTTATCTCATGATGACTTATAAAACTAAAGTCCTACTGAATTAATGTTGACGCACTCTAATTGCTGGTTTATAGTGGTTAAAGTTTTTGAGATCGAAATCTTTTGTACGATTGTTTTCCCACAATACAAATTATTTTAATGAGGGTCACGATCCCACGTCCCCTATATGGCGGAGGAGATGTCGACACATAGGCCTAATTTTCATGGTTTAATTCAGTGCTGTTCCGACAAAATGCTCCTATGAAAATTATCCGGGTATTATTTAGTCAAATGTAGAGGGTTAGGGTTTGCGATTGGGGACTTAATGTTAGGTTGAGGGTTCGGAACAGGGGTTGAGCATCGTATTTGTTGTGAAAGGTTTGAGTTAAAAACGGTAGGCTGCCCGCAAGAAGTCCGTTACTGCCATTGACAATGCATATCTGTTACGGCTTTCTTTGTGGACAGCCAGAGGCGTTCCTCCCGGGGGGCAGGGGGGGGGGGGGCACAGTGCCCCCCACTTTTTCAAGCTCCCGAAAAGTGCCCCCTTTTACATAGGAAAAGTGCCCCTTTAACTTTTTAAGAAGTGCCCCTTTTTACATAGGAATAGTGCCCCTTTTACTTTGACAAGTGCCCCTATTAATTTGTAAAAGTGCCCCCTCCCCCTTTTCAACTCTGATAAGTGCCCCTTTTATTTGGACACGTGCCCCTTTTTCTTCGATAATTTCCTATTTTCCTTTGCAATAAGTGTCCATTTTCCATTCTCATAAGTGCCCATTTTAATCTCTAGTAAGTGCCCCTAGTTAGGTACGAGAGTGCCTCTTTTCACTTTTGATAAGTGCCCCCCTACACCTCTGCTAATTGTCCTATTTAAATCTGAGAGGTACGTGCCTCTTTTACTTTGACAAGTGCCCTTTCCCTTCGTAAGAAGTGCCCCTTTCCCTATTAATAACTACCTACCCCCATTTTAACTCGGATAAGCGTGCCTAATATTTTCACATGTGCCCTTTTTCTTTTCCAATAAGAGCCCCTTTTCCTAACGATAAGTGCTCCTCTTCTGGTAAATACAATTTTTCAGGTACGAGAAGTTACTCTTTTTCACTTCGGATAATTGCCCCCTTCACCACCGATAAATGCCCCTTTAAAATCTGATCGGTGCCCATTTTCTTTTAAAGACCGTCAATACTACTGGGCCAGAAGGGATTAGACCACACAGCGAGGTCACTGACAGGTGGCTATCTCATTAACTTAGCTCTCAACTAACATAAGAAAAAGAGGATCATGGTGGACCAACAGGCACCGATTGGGGAAGTTTTCTATATAGAGGGAGCAAGTAGCTACAAGTAGGACAGTGGGGCTTTAACTAATGCACATTTTCCTTTATTACAAGTGCCCTCTTTTCATTCACATAAGTGTCCCTTTTCAATATCTGGTCATTGCCCCTTTTCAGGTGCGATAAGTGCCTCTTTTCACCTCTGATAATTTCCCTTTTTAACAATATATAATATCTTATAAATGCCCCTATTAAAATCTGATGGGGGCCCCTTTTTTGCGGTATATTTTTGCTTTGAGATCTCCCTTTGTAGGTGCCCCTTTTTTCCAGAGAGTGCCTTTTTTTCTTGGTGCCCCCCCCCCCCACTTTGGAATTCGCTCGGCCGCCCCTGCGGACAGCTGACGAAATTCGAAAAGAGTAGGCAATTGATCGCGAAGAAAATTATCCCGTAAAATGAACCGAATTCAAGAAAAGGTAATGTTTATGTCATACGTCATAGTTGTCGTCAACGATGTGGGTGTCATCGTGAGCGATAAGGAGTTGGTCGTCGGCGTGGTGGTTGTCGTCGTTGGTTCAGGGGTTGTAGTTGGCGATGAGGGGGTCGTCGTTACCTGTGGTGTGGTTGTCGTTGACGGTGAGGGGATCGTCGTTTCTTGTGGTGTGGTTGTCGTCGGCGACTCAGAACATGGAATACCTACATAACTCAAGTCACTGATAACATAGTACCGCACCACGACAGAAAAACAATGCATGATCGTATATGATCCGCTGTAGGTAACTATAAAAAGAAAGACGCATAGAAACTAAGGCAATCGTCAACATGAAAGAGGGGGAAATGTGAATCTATGAAAGGGAGAAAAGAAGTTAAAGAGATGGAGAATGAATGAAACAGATATATGAAAAGACAGAGAAAGAAAGAGAAAAAAGGAGAAAAGAGAAACGCGAAACGAGAGAAAGAAAGAACGAAAGAAAGGGAGAGAGAGCGAGAGAGAGAGCATGGGCGAGGGTACGTTTGACACTCATATTAGATGTTTATGAAAAACATAGCCACGTTGTGACCTACAATCACTTAAATTCAAGTACTATTTTAATGGAAACTGTAATAAGTAGGGGTATTTAATACCCCTACTTATTACAGTTTCCATTAAAGCTTATTCAAACATGTCTCACAACGGCGATAACAATCAAAATAACTACTTGACATAACTTGGCGCTATGTCAGGACCTACCTCCTGAAATCAGGTACGTTACGCCCTCCTTCAAGTAATCGATCCCACACGCGCTAGGGGTGCTTGGAGTCGTGATGTCAATGGTCGTACTCGCATGAATGGTATCAGACGCATCATGATACACTTCGAGTACCCGCACGCTGTGGACAATTTCTCCGAATAACGTATGGTTGTTTACGATTTTCGTAACGGTACCTTTAATACCTAAAGATAAATGAATACGGCAAAATTGTAGAAAATGGAAAAAATATGCCAATGACTTATTAACTTAATCACTTCTTATAATCTCTAAGTAGCATAATTTTTGTCAGTATTGTTATCTTCACATCTTTTAAATGTGTGATAACTTTGAAGTAATAAAAAGAGAGAGAGGGGGGGGGGGAAGAAGACAGAGAGGAGAGAGAGAGAGAGAGAGAGAGAGAGAGAACAAACACGAGAGAGAAAGAGAAAGTGAGAGAGAAATAGAGTGAGAGAGAAAGGCAATATGAAAAGAAGATAATATCCCCTTCCACTCCCTCATGAGATGACCATGTTTTCATCCAACCGGTGAGCACGGTGCCTCCCCCCCCCCCATTAATGCCCCCCCCCCCTCAATGGCTTCATCCAAGCTTCTTCCTCGCTACGCCACGGCCTGCCCCCTCCACTCGAACTTACCGAATTCCGAGGAGCAGAAAGGTGGTTCCTCGTCACAAGAACATGCTGATGTTCCATAAAGAGTGACAGCAAGGAAAATAAAGATGGAGGTGATGGTTGGTATCGCCATAGTAACTGTATCCTAAATCACAGGAAATTAGTTCGCAATGGTTCCTAGGAAAGGTAAGACAAATGGTGTCAAATGGATACCCGGTAGGATGCGGCCGTCATTGTTGGTCAAACAGCTTGTGAGCGTCAAGTAACGCCCGACTGGAATGCTCCCCAGGGAGTGGAGATTGTGCACACAGTGTGCGGGCAAGCACTGAATCCAATGACCGGGGTAATAGTATATTATTTTGTAAAGCGCTTAGAGACATTTGTATTAAGCGCTATATAAAAATTAAATATTGTTATTATAGGACATCTAGGCACAAATCGGGATAACAGCCATGTTTAAATTTAAAGGTTAATCCAACTTTAATAGACAAGTACTCTAAAAAAATTAAGTTAAAAAGTACACAAATTAGAGGAGTAGATTGGTGAAAGTTTTAACTAAATCGGACAATACGAAAGTTATGAATTTTTTTTCATTATACTTATAGACACTTTAAATTGGCTGAATTAGTAACGCAAAGTGACGTGCTGCTTTCCAACTTGTTTCAACACGCAAAATGACTTAAAGAGAAAGTTGAGTTCTGGGAAGAGGTAAAAAATAATTTGTGAGCGTTATCATTGTTTTTATGCAAGTGTGGAAGAACATCAGATTAAACATGTTCCCTGAAAAGCATGGCTCTTCAAATGCCTTCATATTCTAAATATGACATGAAACATCGTAAAAATCCGGGTAGGATTTTTTCGCCATGTGTTCGTGTAGTCCCATATACATAATTCTGTGTACAGTTCTTGTAACTTTGCCAAGATTTGGCCAAATTTCTTATCATTTTGATGATTCCAGAACCTTGCAATACACACGAATACTTATATACTATAGATGATCAACCTTTTCTGATAGATTCCACACCGTTTCTTTCACAATGCAATCACATGACCAGAACTCAACTTTATCTTTAAATGTCAATTTTTCAAAATTTATAACTCAGGGGGGGGGGGGGGGGGGTCTTTTCTTTTTAAAGGACCTGTATTTTGTTGGTTGTGCCCCAAAGGAGAAGACTCTTACGTGAAAAACAGAAATCAGGTATTTGTTTGTACACGACAAACGGGAGAGTTGTCCATGACTACGTCACTATCCACTGACCAAATTGCCAATTTGAGATTAATAATAATAATAACAACATTTATAATGTGCACATATCCACCCCAAGAGATGCTCAAGGCGCCTAACAAGGTAAGTACATTGAACGAAAATAATTTAACATAATTAAATATAATTCAACAACGTTAATTACATCAGATTGTGAAATACACTACGTCTTAACTAAGGAATTCAGACATTAGATAGGTTTTCAGTTGTTTTTGGAACACATTTTGATTGGCTGACATTTTGATTGAATGGGGTAGGGAGTTCCATAACCGGGGTGCAGCAGCTGTAAAAGCTCTGTCTCCCCAACTCCTCAACCCCGATTCCCATAGATCAATTTATAGATTACTTAAAACTATCTTATAATTAGTCCGATTTATTTCGACCTTTCGCCATTCTGTTTATCTGATTTATCTGCTTTCATACAAATATACTCATTACAAAGGCTGGATTACTGTAACGACATAGCGTGTGTCCAGACACTGAGGGGACAACTCGGTGCATGCCGTTGGATAAAATACGGATTTAAATAATTGTATATCGTATAATTTTTGTCGGAATTAAGTGTGTAGTATTTTAACGTGCATATCCCTTGCCCCCCCCCCCCCCTCCTTGCCCAACATGCACATGCATCTGATGAACATGTAATAGTGTCGAGGTGTCGTAGCTAGTCGTCGAGTGGTTGGAAACACTCGACTTTCAAGAGATACAATCATGTCACATGATCTTTAACCATATAGTACGGCGCCTATTCATTTAAACAAGTTAGTTTATACATTGCTTCTCTCTACCCGGGTGTATTTGGGTAAAGAGTTTGTAAGTAAAATGGCGGCTGGCTAATGGCAGAGACTAGGGAAAAGCATGAGCTAATGGCCAGTGTTCGGCATTGCAAGTGAATGTCTATAATGGTCTTGGGTTGACCACAAGTTTTTGTGAGGTTGTTCTTATTTTACCGGTTCAAACAATCAATCTACTGCAGGATAAACAGTCCAAACTGAATTGTAGCCATGGTCTCTCGACATGCGATGCCCAAACCAGAGCTTAAGATTAGCTTTAAAAGTTAGGGTTGGCTATAAAATACTCTGCAATATCAATTTATTATTTCGGATACATTATACAAGTGCATGGTAATTTACCTCGTCTACAGCTTTGGAGTGTTTCAACAGTTCAAACTTTTGAAGTCGCCGAACAAAGTCCGTGAAGTGATCCTCAAAATTATACCGTGTAGGGAATATGAGAATAGAAATGAACAGAAACACTCTACACTATGAAAATTCAAGTCCAGCTTCCACGTATTGAAATACACATTTCTCTGTATGGCCTGTATAGCAAGTACAAGATGACACTGTGTAAACAAATGTAATTTCTGCAATTGCTAGTCTCTATTGTGATCTTTTGTTCATCATAACATATTCACCAATCAATTGCAGTTTTGCTTCAATAACTCCCGGTTCCTGTGTCGTAGTCTTCAATGTAGGCGTGATGCTTTTGGCATCTGTGCTGTAAATAATTATTTTGTTATACTTTTCTTTAGTATGTTGAACAGATCTAGCCAGCTGATTGGTCAGAATTAGAGTCGTGATTTCAGCCAAGCCCGCCTACCGGTCAATAGTTTTTTTTAAAGGTGCCCGTTTCCCCGGGTAACGGTCTGCATTAAAACGTTTGGCTGATGCTAGGAGTCCACTGGGCCGGCGCCAGTTGGCGCCAGTTTGCGCCAATGCAATTTACTGTGGCGCCTAGTGTCGCCAATAAGGTGCCTAGTGGCGTGTAGTGGCTCAAACTGCCTCCCAACTGGCTCGTGGTGGCCCGTTACGGCACCAAATTTGAATTTGGCGGCAAGAAAATTTCAAAATGTTTAAAATTTTCGTCGCGCCACTTGCATCGAGCAATCAGCGCCAAGTGTCCGCCAAGTGGCACCAAATGGCGCGAACATATCGCCCTTTGGCGCAAACAATCCGCCTATTGGAATCCACTGGAATCCACTGGAATGTAATGGCGCGCGCCAAGTTGCGCCAATGAGATTTCGCGCCACATGGCGCCACTTGGCGCCAAGGGGCACCTTGTTTGCGCCACTACGCGAGCCAAACGGCACCCGATTGGTGACTAATTCGCGCCAAATGCCACCTGATTGCCCGCCATTCGGCGCCACTTGCCGCCTATAAAAGCAGGGCGGCATCGCAGGACTTTCTCCTAAGCTTTTGGTGGAAGTTTTACCTATTATATTTCTATATCAATACAATATTAGTTTTATTAGTAGTTCTATATCAATACAATATTGTTATATTATCATAATTCAATATATTAAATAGAAGGAACAACTTTTGAGAGCTGACACTCTTTCTAAGGGACCTTCTTTTTGTTTTGCCTTGGGGTGACCTCTTTCCTCATATTTTTTCAATTATATTTCGATAAACAATATAATACTATAATAGAATCATAGTAATCGTAATCACTGCCTTCAACACTGGTCGTATTAGATAATAACTAATTATAGCTTATGAGAGCGGGCATGCTTTCCGAAGGTACTTCTCTGTTTTGGGTTTTGGGTACATTGCCTACACATTTATGTTTCTATATCGATATTATAGTAATATCATCGAAATAGATACTACTGGTTCATATCAAGATAATGACGAGGATAAGCTTTTGAGAACTGATATTCTGTACATGGGTACTTTATATATATATATATATCTTTTTCTTTTTGTTATGCTTTGGGTATAATTATATAACTTACATCAACTCTATACCTGTATAACACCAAGATCATCAAATTCGATGATACTGGTTAAAATGTGGGTTTATTTTAGAAAAGGGGAAACATCTCACGAGAGATGGAAACCCTTTCATAGTTACTGCACTATTTAACCCATGGTTAATCTCTTTCCTAGTAAATTTTCTATATCACGGCATTGATCTTTTTTGAATAGTCGGCAAAGACTAACTCAACGTTATTTGATGTTAATCATTTTATTAACAGTATAAGAATTTAACAAATGCACCTCCCAATGTACACCTATTGTTTTGATGTTTATGTATATGTGTCACCGTTTTACGTCTACTTGTTCCCCATTTTGTTTTCTCTTATCCAAAAGAGCTGCATAATTGTATCGAGTCACGGCTCTTATAAAAGAGTGTACCACATCATTTAATTTCGAATTCCTAATATATAACAAAACAAAAAAATTAGCACAAAAAAAATAAATAATAATAATAATAAAAAATATATATATATATATATATATATATATGAATATATTCAAATAAATACCGCTATTTTTAGCTGGCATAAATAGTCATTTCTGACTGCAATGCCAAAACAAATTTTAAATTAACAACAACAGGACTTTCTCCCAGTGTGGCGGCAGTTCTCCAAGCTCCAGGGATGAGGTTGTGCTGGGCATCCTCCTGGTCCAACATGCGGACGTCCACTGCCTGGTAGCGCTTCCTGATGAGGTTGTGCAGCATGACGGCAGCTTCAATGAGCAGGCGGACTGTGTCTGGGACCTGTCTCATCTGGCCAAGGAAGCACTGGAACCGCAGAGCCAGAATACCAAAGGCATTTTCAACCACACGCCTTGCCCTGGACAGCCTGTAGTTGAAGATCTTCTGCTGTTGGTCCATGTTACGACGGCCTTATAAGGCTTCATCATGTACGTCCTCATGGCAAATGCATCGTCTCCCACGTAGAAGTACAGCTTAGGGTGCTCTTCATCATCATGGGGAAGAGGAGCTGGATCTGGGATGCCTAAAGTGCCAGCTTCAATGCACTCCTTCAGTTCACTGTTGTTGTAGATCTGGGCATCAGACTGATGGCCAACCCCACCCACATCGATCCACAGGAACTGGTACTTCGAATCTACCAGAGCCATCAGGACAACCGAGAAGAACTGCTTGTAGTTGAAGTAAAGGCTGCCTGATTTGTTGGGCTTCTGGAGACGGATGTGCTTTCCATCATAGGCTCCCAGACAGTGAGGAAGATTCCATCTGGCTTCAAAATCACCTGCAACCTCAAGCCAGCCTTCATTGGTTGTGGGGAGGGAGATGACTTCTGCAGCATACTCATCCACTATCGCTCTGGCTACATCAGGGACAAACTTCTGGATGGTTTCCTTGCCCACTCGGAAGTTGTAAGACAGCTCGGCATTGGTGGCCCCAGTGGCGAGATGGCGCAGGAAGACAGACAACTTGAGACCAGGGAATGGCCTTCCTGATGTGGGTGTCCTTCTTCTGCAAGTGGGGTGTAAGCATGACCAACAGGTCATCAAAAATCTCTGGGGACACCCTGGTGTAGTTCTTGAACTTTCTCGTCATTCTCACTCAGCTCTTCCATCAAAGTGTGGTACTGTCCACGTTCGGCCCTCAACTGTGGGTGGAGCATGGGTCTAAACCACCAGTTGTGCTTCCTTTTCTTCTTAGGAGGCTCTTCTTCTTCAGGATTGGCCAGCATAAGTTGATAGGCAGTGGCCACCTCAGCATCTCTCATCATCTTCTGATGGAGCAGCATCATCACTCCAACATTATCAAAAGCCTCAGACATATCAAAATTGTAAATATTTAGTAAAGATGTTGTTCATACAGCAGCTGAGGAGGGTCTGAACCAGGTAGCCAATGGCCGGTATTTATTTAGTCGGCAAGTAGCGCCAAGCGGCGGCAAGTTCAAACCAATTCGGCGACCTTTGGCACAAACTAATCACCAAGTGGCGCAAAGTAGCCGTCTATTGGCGCGAATGGCGCCAACAGGGTGAATTTTGGAATCAAATGGCCGTGTAATGGCGCGAACTGGCGCGAACTGGCGCAACATTTTGGAGCAAGCAGGGTGGCATTTGGCGCACGCCATATGGCACCCAGTTTATTCCACTTGGCGACACATGCCGAGAGGACATTAATTCGGCGCCACAGCGAGCCACTACGCGCCAATCACATAATCTTTGGCGCGAATTGGCACTAACTGGCGCCGGCCCAGTGGACTCCTAGCATGAGATCCCCTTTGGTGTACGTGTAAAAGGTTTCTTTGTGCGAGCGCAGATACAAAATACAGTGCAGTGTGCGTGCGATTCCCGAATGAACGTAATGCTAGGAGTCCACTGGGCCAGCGCCAGTTGGTACCAGTTTGCGCCAATGCAATTTACTGTGGCGCCTAGTGTCGCCAATAAGGTGCCTAGTGGCGTGTAGTGGCTCAAACTGCCTCCCAACTGGCTCGTGGTGGCCCGTAACGGCACAAAATTTGAATGTGGCGGCAAGAAAATTTCAAAATGTTTGAAATTTTCGTCGCGCCACTTGCATCGAGCAATCAGCGCCAAGTGTCCGCCAAGTGGCACCAAATGGCGCGAACATATCGCCTTTTGGCGCAAACAATCCGCCTATTGGAATCCACTGGAATGTAATGGCGCGCGCCAAGTTGCGCCAATGAGATTTCGCACCTTGTTTGCGCCACTACGGGCCAAATAATTCCAAAACGCGCCAAATGTGCAGTGGCAGTGGCACCCGATTGGTGACTACTTCGCGCCAAATGCCACCTGGTTGCCCGCCATTCGGCGCCACTTGCCGCCTATAAAAGCAGGGCGGCATCGCAGGACTTTCTCACACAACTTGTTTCCCATGATGGGCCTGTTCAAATCCTCAGTGATGGCGGCAGTTCTCCAAGCTCCAGGGAAAAGGTTGTGCTGGGCATCCTCCTAGTCCAACATGCGGACGTCCAGTGCCTGATAGCGCTTCCTGATGAGGTTGTGCAGCATGACGACAGCTTCAACGAGCAGGCGGACTGTGTCTGGTTCCTGTCTCATCTGGCCAAGGAAGCACTAGAACCGCAGAGCCAGAATACCAAAGGCATTTTCAACCTTCGACTGTTGGTCCATGTTACGACGGCCATAGGGCTTCATCATGTACGTCCTCATGGCGAAGGCATCGTCTCCCACGAAGAAGTACGGCATAGGGTGCTCTTCATCATCATGGGGAAGAGAAGCTGGATCTGGGATGCCTAAAGTGCCAGCTTCAATGCACTCCTTCAGTTCACTGTTGTTGTAGATCTGGGCATCAGACTGATGGCCAACCCCACCCACATCGATCCACAGGAACTGGTACCTTGAATCTACCAGAGCCATCAGGACAACCGAAAAGAACTGCTTCTAGTTGAAGTAAAGGCTGCCTGATTTGTTGGGCTTCTGGAGACGGATGTGCTTTCCATCATAGGCTCCCAGACAGTGAGGAAGATTTCATCTGGCTTCAAAATCACATGCAACTTCAAGCCAGCCTTCATTGGTTGTGGGGAGGGAGATGACTTCTGCAGCATACTCATCCACTATCGCTCTGGCTACATCAGGGACAAACTTCTGGATGGTTTCCTTGCCCACTCTAAAGTTGTAAGACAGCTCGGCATAGGTGGCCCCAGTGGCGAGATGGCGCAGGAAGATAGACAACTTGAGACCAGGGGGAATGGCCTTCCTGAAGTGGGTGTCTATTTCAGCAAGTGGGGTGTAAGCCTGACCAACAGGTCATCAAACATCTCTGGGGACACCCTGGTGTAGTTCTTGAACTTCCTCCTGTCATTCTCCCTCAGCTCTTCCATCAAAGTGTGGTACTCTCCACGTTCGGCCCTCAACTGTGGGTGGAGCATGGGTCTAAACCACCAGTTGTGCTTCTTTTTCTTCTTAGGAGGCTCTTCTTCTTCAGGATTGGCCAGCATAAGTTGATAGGCAGTGGCCACCTCAGCATCTCTCATCATCTTCTGATGGAGCAGCATCATCACTCCAACATTATCAAAAGCCTCAGACATATCAAAATTGTAAATATTTAGTAGAGATGTTGTTCATACAGCAACTGAGGAGGGTCTGAACCAGGTAGCCGATGGCCGGTATTTATATAGTCGGCAAGTAGCGCCAAGCGGCGGCAAGTTCAAACCAATTTGGCGACCTTTGGCACAAACTAATCACCAAGTGGCGCAAAGTAGCCGTCTATTGGCGCGAATGGCGCCAACAGGGTGAATTTTGGAATCAAATGGTCGTGTAATGGCGCGAACTGGCACAAACTGGTGCAACATTTTGGAGCAAGCAGGGTGGCATTTGGCGCACGCCATATGGCACCCAGTTTATTTCACTGGGAATGGCACCACTCTTTCGTATGGCACCCAGTTTATTCCACATTAATTCGGCGCCACAGCGAGCCACTACGCGCCAATCACATGATCTTTGGCGCGAACTGGCACCAACTGGCGCTGGCCCAGTGGACTCCTAGCATAATATTCAGGCAACTTTCTAGCGAAGATGTAATTTTCTGTATGCATTTGATTCTTCCTTCCCTCACTCTCTCTCTCTTTCTCTCTCTCTCTCTCTCTTTCTGTCTCTCTTTCTCTATCTCTCTCTCTCTCTGTCTAATCATCCCCACTCTCTGTCTTCATTTCCCTTGTCTTTCCATCTCTCTATCCTTCTTCCCCTTCCCTCTTTACCCTTTCAGTATATTCCGGGCATTAGTAAATACCAATGACCGTTCATTAGTAAAATCATGTTTAAAAACATTACTTTATAACACAAATAAAACATCGTCTTATAAAACAAATAATACACATCATTTTGTTCGGGCTTTTGTAAAATTACCCACACTCGGTACCTTCAAAACAGTCCAAACACCCTCGGTTGTCTTTTCGGGTGTGTTAGCCTGTTTCAAAGGTACCTTATGTGGGTAATAATATGTATAATGTAAAATAAATATGTTAATAATGATACTTTGTACACTGGCCGTCTCAACCTAAGCTGCTGTCACTCTTTATATACCAAACGGATCAATAAATATTACTACTACTACTACTACTACTACTACTCCTATACTACTACTACTACTACTACTACTACTACTACTACTACCACTACTACTACTCCAACTACTACTACTACTACTACTACTACTACTACCACTACTACTACTACTCCAACTACTACTACTACTACTACTACTAGTACTAATACTACTACTACTGCTACTAGTACTACTACTACTACTACTACTACGACTTCTACTACTACTACTACTACTACTACTACTGATGATACTTGTACTACTACTACTACTACTACTACTAGTAGTACCAATACTACTACTTCTACTACTACTACTAGTACTAATACTACTACTACTGCTACTAGTACTACTACTACTACTACTACTACTACGACTTCTACTACTACTACTACTAATAATAATAATACTAATATTAATAATAATGATAAGAAGAAGAAGAAGAATGAAGTTCAACCTTTAAAGTGTAAAAAAGGTTGGGGAGTCTAGACAGTTTAACAAAATAACATTTCGTGCGTACAGGTTTCTACAGATTAATTCATTTACAAAAGGAAAAGGATAATGTACGATAATATGACGTTAACAACACAAAGGCATACATTGATAACTCGTAATTCCTAAACTTAACATTCGAACAGGTAGAAATAATGTTGTACACACATTGATTATAGACTTATGTCAGTATATCTATTTTGCCTATCACCTCGTAGTCAATAATAATCTGTAATGATCAATATGATACAAAAGTAAGACCCCTATACATTTTTTCCTCAAAAACTATAACATGGAAAAATAACAAAAACTAAGTTATCGAAGATAGAATTAATTGAAAATATGTACAGTACTTTTAAAACTCTTAAATAACAGATATTAAGAAAGAGTTCATGTAGATATGTCATTGCATCAACAACTTTTGTACCATTCATTGATGCACATTCAATACATTTAATTATAATTGTAGGTGGACGAAGAGAGGCCTGTAATTTAAAAATTATTCAGTTGTGTTGATCAGTTAAACACACAAATTGGCAGCACTTGTGACGTATTTTGCGAGCTCCTTTCCAATCCTTTTCTACAGAAAATATCACAAACTGTCATTTTCTTCGTTGTTGATGACGGAATAGACTTGTCTCGTACAGGAGTTGTATATAGGGTGTACGTATGATTGACAATTTTCTTAATGCAAAATATTTGTGTAAAAGTTTATTAGCTAGTACAGGGCCGTTGTCCGGGAGGTAGTTGTCCTTGAGGATGGTTGTCGTAGAAGGTAGTTATCCGAGGGCTAGTTATCCGGGGGTAGTTGTCCGAGGGGTAGTTGTCATTGGGGGTAGTTGTCCTAGGGGTAAGTTGTCCTAGGAGATAGTTGACTGGGGGTGGTTATCCGGGGGTTGATGTCCAGGGGGTAGTTGTCCTAGAACCAGCCTACACATACCGTCTCAAATAACCCAACAATATGCTGTCTTCATTTCTCACGGTCCTTATCACCAATGAAAAACTACACTAAGAAGGACACTGACGATGATGACGAACGACGTGATGGTCGACACGGATGCAGAACACGGAAGGTCGATATCGACACTCGCCTCACCGACATCGTTGACTTCCTGCACGACCGATGTACATATGTCAATCGAGAACGAACTCGTGGATCCTAGGAAAGAGAGAGAGAGAGAGAGAGAGAGAGAGACAAAAAGGGGGTTACTGTTTGAGGAAACAAATGGATAACGTTTGGGAGAGATAGGTGAATTTCTAAGAGAAAAGGAGAGAAATTAGAAGTAATTGATTTATATGACCATATAAACACTGCTATACATGTCCAAAATGGTTTGGATGACTTTTTTAAGGATTTGGAATTCATATATTGCATTCGCCTCCATGCACCTCCAAAGAAATTATTACCCTATAACAATAATAATAACAACAATGCTACCACTACTACTACTACTACTACTACTACTACTACTACTACTACCACTACTACTACTACTACTACTACTACTACTACTACTGCTACTACTACTACTACTACTACTACTACTACGACTACTACGTATATGTGCCATGGTCGAGTGGTTAAGTCGCCGGACTGTCGATCACAAGGTCCGCGATACGAGACTCGCCACGGCATTAATGTCCTTTGGCAAGACATTGATCTACATTTGCCACACTCAACCCAGGTGATGTAAATGGGTACCTGGCAGGAATTAATTCCTTAAAATGCTAGAGCGCCGTAATGGCAGCACAGCTGATTGTAATAAGCGCCATAAAAAAATGGGTATTATTATTACTACTACTACTACTACTACTACTTCTACTAATACTACTACTGTACTCCTTATATTCATGATAATGATGATAATGATAATAATAACAATAATAATAATGATAATAATAATAGTAATAATAATAATAATAATAATATTAATAATAATAATGATAATAATAATAATAACAATAGCTATAATGATAACAATAATAATCATTTTTAATCTTAACCATCCACTGATTATTCTATAGCCCAGTGCATGCACAGGCGGAGTTATTTTGTTTTCATATAGGACTGCGTCGATTAATGCGGTCTAGACGCGCTCACTTTGTGAGAGTATCGTACAGACAACAATAACTAGTGCAAATATTGCTTTGAATTGCTGGCTTATCAGCTAATATCCTCCTCAAAATCGAAGATTAAGCGTAAAACAGAAATTAAACTGCTGTCTCATTATCCTGCATACTTAATTAATTGACATCAGTATATTCACCTCCAGAAATCAGGTATGACGATCCTGTCTTTAAAGAACCGATACCGCATAAGCTGGCGGGAGTTTGGATTTCAAGAATCTCATTGACACGAATGGCTTGGGTTGAATTACGATATACTTCTTGTACCCGTACATTGTATTGCAGATCTTCGTTCAGTGAACGGTTGCCGAGAATATTCACAACCGTTCCTTTGATAGCTGTAAGAATATATTTGGAAAAAAAAAAGAAATTAGATTCAGAATTACCAAATTCTTGGAAAGTAAGAACAATCTACATGGGTATAGCCCCGTTTGAAATAGATAGACAAAAATGATGGATGGAGGAAGGGAAGAAAAGAGAAGTAAAAAGAAGGTATTATAGGACCACCCCCATCCCACACTCAATTCCCCTAAACGGTGCCACTGGGGCATGATAATTCATCAGTAAGAGAGTAAGCTTCACCCCACGATGCGCAGGGTTATTGAAATTGTCTTAGGTTGATTTTCTGAACGCTTTGGCGACTGTGTCAATTATCAATGCAACATCTTTCTCGCCCATTATATTATACTGGTGGTTTAGGGTGGGGCACCACCAATCTGCCCCCCCCCCCCTGAACATCCACGAAGCCTCCACTAACGTGCCCACTCTTTTTTTAGATTCCCGATAGTTTTGTGTCAAAGTTTTCTGGATAAATAATTATGTCCCACGCCATTTACAAAATCTAGTATCTGCCCCCGGTTTCTGGAAATCAACTTCTGGATACGAAATTGTAAGATTACCAAAGCTTGAAGAGCAGAAAGTTGGTTCTTCGTCGCAAAGACATCTTGATGTTGGGGCCATGGTGTTTCTAGACAAAAATAACAAGGTTATAGTTTTAAAACCATATCATGTATGACAAACTCAAAATTTCATTATAACTTTTGAATTAATCCTATATCCTTATAAAGAAATTGTCATATACAAAATAGGACACAAATAGAAAAAAAAACCCAACAAAAACCACAGATTTAAATAACAGATTAAAGAGTACAACATTAACTCATGATTGACTTAATATATAACTATAGTCATACTGGATTAACGTTGACGCACGCTAATTGTTGGTTTATAGTGGTCAAAGTTTTGGAGATCGAAATCTTTTGGACGCTTGTTTTCACACAACACACATTATCACTATTTTAATGAGGGTCACGGCCCCACGCCCCCTGATGTCGACACGAATGCCTTATTTTGTTATTACATATGTCCAGTGTCCCTTTCATTGTCGTCATGGTTTAATACAGTGCTGTTCCAACACAGTTTTTCTGGGTATTATTTTAGTCAAATGTTAAGGATTGGAGTTGCGATTGGGTGCTTTACATGTATGTTATGTTAAGGGTTCGGAATAGGGGTTGGGCATCGTATTTTTTGTCGAAGGTTTAATTTAAAAATAGTTGGCTGCCCGCACGAAGTCCGTTATTGCTATTGACATTTCTCTAACGGCCTTCTTTGTGGACAGCAGTAGGCAATTGATCGCGGAGAAAATGAGCTCGTAACATTAACCGAATATCAGTATGGATAGACGATGAATTCAAGTAAAGGCAATATTATTATGTCATACGTCGCAGTTGTCGTCAACGAAGTGGGGCTCGTGGTGGGCGATGAGGGGATGGTCGTCGGCGTGGTTGTTGTCGTCGGCGACTCTGAACATGGAATACCCACATTACTCAAGTCTCTGATATCATTGTATGGCATCACGACAGATTGACAATTGTTTATCGCATATGATCCGCTGTTGGTAACTATAAGAAGAAAGACACAGAGAAATCAAGGCGATCGTCAACATGAAAGAGGGGGAAATGTGAAAGGGAGTAAAGAAGTTAAAGGGAAAGTCCACCCCCAAAATAAGTTTGTTTCGATAGAGGCAGAATAATAAGAAAATCAGGTGAGTGAAAGTTAGAGCAAATTCTGAATGAAAATAAGAAAGTTATGAATTATTGAAGTTGTGATCAATCAAATACAAATTGGCAACTCTGTGACTTATTATACGAGCTCTCCTTCATTTGCTTTGTGCATAATATTCCATAAAATCATGTTTTCTTCGTTATTGATGACGGAATATATATTTGTTCCTTGCAGGGGGAGTATAGAAACATATTTGCAATTATTATATTTAGGGTGCATGTATGGTTGAAATTTTTCTTGAGGGAAAATGAAAATTTTAGATTTTTTTAGTACTGAGCAAATGGAAGTTGAGCTCGCATGATACGTCATAGAGTTGCCAATTTGTGTTTGATTGATCACAACTTCAAAAATCCTAACTTCCTTATTTTTAATCGGAATTTGCTCAAACTTTTACTGACTTGTTTCTCTCATTTTTCTACTCCTATTAAAACTAACTTAATTTCAGGGTGGACTTTCCCTTTAAAGAGATCGAGAACAAATGAAACAGATATATAAAAAGACAGAGAAAGAGAGGGGTAAAGAATAGAAAAGAAAACGCGAAAAGAAAGAAAGAAAGAAAGAGAGAGAGAGAGAGAGAGAGAGAATGGGCGGGGGTACGCTTGACACCCACATTAGGGTATGTTTATGCTCAATTTTTTCTGGCCAGAATGCATTTGTTACGCGTTTAGTTCAAAACACGGTTGCGTCCTTTCTCATTTTTGTAGAATCACCGAAAAAACGGCGATCATAATTGCCGATCTTTTTGGATCGGCGATTCTGGGGAAGCATAAACGCACAATCATTTGTAAACGCGTTTAAATGGGGTCAAAGAAGCATGCGCAGTGCAGGTTTGCGAATCCAGCTGCAGAGCCAAAATCATGCCTGGAGGAGCCAGAGAAGTGAGCATAAACACTAAACAGTACACAGTGGAACTGCGATTACGATGAGCATTTACGATGAGCGTTTCAAATCGCTCATTCTGCCTTCAAAATTAAACGCACCCTTATGTCTACGAAAAACACAGTCACGTTGTGCCTAGCTGATATTACTCAAAATCAAGTACTATTTTAATGGAAACCGTCATAAATAGGGGTACAGCTTATTAAAACATGTCTCACAACGGTAATAGCAATACAAATAACTACCTGACATAACTTGGCGCTATGTCAGGACCTACCTCCTGAAATCAGGTACGTCAGGCCCTCTGACAAGAAATGGATCCCGCAAGTGTGGCCTGGAGTCGTGATGTCAATGGTCGTACTCACTTGAATGGCATCAGACGAATCGTGATACACTTCGAGTACCCGCACACTGTAGACAAGATCTTCGAATAACGTTAAGTTGCCTTCGATTTTCGTAACCGTCCCTTGGATTCCTATACATAAATAAATACAGCAAAATTCTAGGAAATGGAAAATATAGCAATAACTTATCAACTTAATCACTTCTTATAATCTCTAAGTAGCATAGTTTTGAAATGTGTGATGGCATTGACGTAATACAAATATTTCTTTAAAACGCATATCTACCCTCCCCATGACATGCTGGGTCCCCCTTTTGCTGGTTGAGCTAGTAAACTTGGATACCATTCATATACAGAAAATACGTGATGTAACATAGTCCGTGGCGTAGCAAAGGGGCACCCCCCCCCCTCATTGAATGACAGGGGGGAAGCTGAGAGGGAGAGAGGAGGGAGAGAGAGAAAGAGAGAGAGAGAGAGAGAGAGAGGAGAGAGAGAAAGAGAGAGAGAGAGGAGGAGAATATAAAGATGAGAGAGAAAGAAAAAGAGAGAAAAAGAGAGATAGAGAGAAATAGAGTAAGAGAGAAAGGCAATATCAAAAGAATATAATATCCCCTTCCAACCCTCAGTAGATGACCATGTTTTTCATCCATCCAGTGAGCAAGGTTCCCCTCCCCCTCCCCCATTAGTGACCCCTCAATAGCTTCATACACGCTTCACCCAGGCTACGCCATGGTCTGTCTACTCCACTCCAACTTACCGAAGTCCGGGGAACAGAAAGTTATTGGCTCATCCATCGGGACACAAGAACATGATGATGTTCCATGCAGAGTGAAAGCAAGGAAAATGACGACGGAGGCGATGGGTAACGTTGTCATGGTAACTGTATCCTAAATCATAGGAAGCGAGATTCCAATGGTTCCTAGAAAAGATAAACAAGGTAAAGATTTCTAGGCAAAAATTGAGATAATAGTACAGCCATGAACTTTAAAGGAAAGTCGAACCTAAAAAGACAAGTACATGTACTTAAAAAAAACAAAACATAACAATTAAAGAAGCAGACTGGTACCTGAAAGTTTGAACGAAATCTGACTCTTGTTTTGGACAAAAATACGAAATTATGAATTTTTGAAAGTTCTAATCATTCTACGTATTGGCACTTCCGATTGGCTGAATTAGTAATGTCAACGTGACATGATGCCGGACACATTTCCCATTTGTTTCAACACGCAAATTGACTTGAGTTCTGGGAAGAGGTAAACAATAATTTGTGATTATTATCATTGTATTATACAAAATGTTCCCTGAAAAGCATTGCTTTTCAAATACCTCAATATTCTAAATATGGCATATATCATCATACAAATAGGGACGGACTTTTATGCTACATGTTCGTGTAGTCCCATATACATCTTTCTGTGCTTGTAAATGTACCAAGACCAAATTTCTTATGTGATATCCAGAACCTTGCAGTTCACACCGAGTTCCTATAGGAAATCTATTTATTCAGATGGTCATCTACCAGCCTAATACTTAACATATTCAATTGTTTTGCGACATTTGGACATTATTTTGATGCTCTTTCGGAAAATGAAGTTCAAATTGAGAAATTGTTTAAAAAAATAGATCTGTGTGATGTCACAGCTTCGGTACTCTATACCAGAGCTCAAGATTAGCTTTAAAAGCTAGGGTTGATTATAATGCTTTTATATAATCTGCTGCATCTGCAATATCAATTATTTATTTCGGATATATGTGGTACTTTACCTCGTCTACAGCTTTGGAGTGCGATTCTGCTGCAACAGATTAAACTTTTGAAGTCGTCGAACAAAGTCAGTGAAGTAATCCACACAATTATACCGTGTTGAGAATATGAGAATAGAAATTAACAAAAACACTCTACAAAGTTCTAGTATAAATTTCCACGTATTGAAATGCACCTTTCTCTGTATGGCCTGCGTACCAAGTACAACACGACACCGTGTAAACAACAGTACTGTGACCTCTGTAAATGCTCGTCTCGGTCTATTGTGATCTTTTGTTCGCTATTAGAAAGATTATCGACAGTCTTTTTAAAGCCTAGTTGTATATTATATAATCATCATTCAATCGCAGTTTTGCTTCAACAACTCCCGGTTCTCGTATACCGGAGTGTTGGCTCAGTCAGTAGAGCATCCGCCTCACACCCGGGAGGTCGTAGGTTCGAACCCCGGCCTAGTTCGAACATACCAAAAAGACGTTAAAAGATGGGAGTTGTTGCTACCTTGCTTGGCGTTCAACAATAAGGGATAGAGCAACGTCGATCTGGTGCTGCTTAGTGGCTGCCGGGCTCACGATCAATTGGGCAAAAAGAATTTCCGTTTCGGTTTAATAAAATTTGGAGTGGACTATTAGGCTATTATTATTATAGTCTTCAATGTAGGCATCATGCTTTTGGCATCTATATGTTGTAAAAAATTCTTTCTATTACCATAGACGTATGTGTTATTTCAATGTTATCTCAGTGTTATTTAGGGTACGCATATGCGTGTTCCCTCCTTAAAATATTTAAAGTTCCAACACTCGAACGGCCGACTATCCTCATACTCGACAGCGAGGTGCCCAAATAGTTTTCACGCTCGTTTTTCATGTAATCTAATGTATATTAATGATGGAAGAACACCTTTGCGTTCGCTCACTCTCAAGATTTACAGACATAAACGTTACTATTCGGGCTAGATCGAGGTGTACATCTCCCCCTCTCGCGAAAATCTGCCCTATGAAGACATCGGCTCATTCCGGGTTAGGACATGATCAACAACAAAAAAGAGAAGGAAATTGAAACTAAATCGATCGTCACCACTAAAGTCGTTCGGTTTACTTCGTTCCATCGGGTCTTCGCGTCGTGGGTTACACGAACATTAGTGAATAACCATGCCCTAATTCTCGAAGGAAAGGGTGTATATAACACCCTCCTTTTGGCATAGAGTTGGGTTCATTTTACCTGACATTTTCTCAAAATCGATTTTCGAATGTATATAATACACTCCTCCTTTCTTGGCGTCAATGTAATTGCATTTTATTGTTCCTTCTCTCTCTCTCTCTCTCTCTTTCTCTCTCTCACTCTCTGTCTTCATTTTCCTTGTCTTTCCTTCTCTCTCTATCCTTCTTCTTCTTCCCTCTTTACCTTTTCATTGTACTGCGGTTTATCCTCTTTTCCTGTGTGTTCTCTTCCTGCATGTCTGATAATCTATTTCTCTTTGTCACCTTTCTCAATGCATCTCTTCTGATCTATGTATATCATCATGATTTTTTGTACGTTTATAACATGTATATATCATTTTGTGCAATTCAGCAATCTTTAATTATAGTTAGTATTGAATTTTGTTGTATCTTTTCCCTTTTTTGTTTATGTGAATATTTCATGTTACTCTGCTCCAGTTTTGCCTATATCTATTACCGTCTGCTTTCCCTGATTTTCAGATTTCATCTGCAGTTGTGAATACTGCTCTCACGATTTCAATCGTTTTATCTCCATTCAAGGTTTATTTCGGAAAACATATATTACAATGATGCACATACTGCAGCTAAAAAGCTGAAATGTATATGTTTACAACTATCGAGGATACATATATATAGAATAGAATATCCATTCACAAATTACTATCAACATAATCGTACAATGAAACCATGAAAGATAAAATACTAGTCTGATTAAAAAGACAACTGTTTAAATATACAAATAAAAAAGATATTGGATTTGTAAAGAAAAATTTAAAACAATCAGTGATTATTAAGAAGATCAATAAAATATGGTATTGCACTTTGTTTAAACGAGAGGTCCTGCATTTATATTGCCTACACTTTTGTTCATTTCATAATGACATGCCAACAGTTTTTCGTTCAGGAAGCCAGCCTTTGCATTGTAGGTTTTTAATTAGAGTTGCAGCAAAAACAATACATAATTTTTTCTCGTAATCGTTCAAGTTGGCATCGTTCGTAATTTATATAAGCGTATTCATAATTTATATAACTTTACCCTAAAGTGATTTGACATACTCTTTTCTGGATTCTTTCTAAATGTTGTATGTGCTCTAAGGTAAGACCTCCATTAAAAACAGATGCGCAATACTCTAAAACAGGAGAAATGTACCCAACATATATTTGAATTAAGTCAGGAATTGGTAATTTATATTGCTCAACCATTCTAAACATGTAGAGTTTTCTACTGCACGTTTTTAAACCTTATTTATTTATGTGAGTGTCCCATTTCAAATTTTGTTGGATGTAGACTTCCAGAATTTTGAATAGGATTTAAATATAACAAATTATTGTGAATCACCAATACTCAAAATCTCAGGAATAGATGGATTTTTCACGAATGTAATTCTCATTGCAGTACATTTTGTAGGGTTTAGTTTCGTGTGATTACTTTCTGTCCTTTTAATAAATTATCTAATATATGTTGTAATATTGATTGTTTTTGTAAAGTTCGACCATCGAGTAGAGTAAGATCATCAACATATTTAAAATATAACAACGATTGATCTTGGCAAGCATCACTGAACATAATTAGAAGAAAAAAATCGGGCCTAACTTCGTACCTTGAGGAACCCCGGCATGGGTGGTTACCTATTCAGAAAAAACATTTTGATATTTTTGTTAAAAAAAAACGTATTACCCAATTTATAATATATATGGTCTGACATTGAGATCAATTAATTTCCTGATCAAAATATTGTGATCAAGTCTGTCAAATGCTTTGGAAAAATCGGTACAACTAATAGTAGACATAGATATTTGTCTCTCACAGTTTTTCAAAAATGTTATGTAATAGTCTAATAAGATAGTGAGATGGTGATAAACCAGGTCTATTACTATATTGGTGAGGGTCAATGTACCTTGATATCTCTTCCAAAAGCCACTTGGCTATAAAAGATTCTGCCATTTTTGAGAGACAGCTACTTATAGCGCTATAAGGCGTAGTTGTTCAATTGTTGGTGGTTGAGATCTCGCTCTCCCCTCCCCTTTTCTCTCCCCCTCTAATCCGTAATCCTTCTATTTGCCTTTTTTATATTCCCTCCTTCTTTGAAGCAACTTCTACCCCTCTCGTATCCTTCCCGAACTCTTCAATCTGTCAAATTATGCAGTATGTTATATGTTCTTGCAAATTCACAAGGATAAGCAAATAATGTATAACTTTGATATAACAGATTGCAATTTTTTGATAAGCAGTACTATTTACCACATCTCTACTAATAATTAGTAGGTTTGTAACCATTTATCATGCCCCCCCCCCCCCCCACAAATACTGATCAATCATGTATAAAATGAATGTGAATGTGTAAATGATATTATTACTCTGTCCAGGCACCGTTTCAGCCTAAGCTGTCATTCTTTATACACCAAGCAAATATATAAATATATTAATAATTTATTAATTTTTTATTTTTATTAAAACCTCTTTTAACAGGATAACATTGATCAGCTTGCAGGCTGTTTTACATAATGGTCCTGCATAAGGATGGTTAATACAAATCAAGAACTGACAATAAGAGTAGTTACAAACAAAATAGAAGTTTTATACAAATGGTAAAAAACGAAAACAACACAAATAGGAAAAGTGAGATTAGGGAAAAACGAAAAGAGGAGAAAAAAGATAAAATAATGTAATATGACATTTACATTATGACATTTTACATTAGAATTATAAATAACAATGAAGTTAATGAACATTCCATGTCGAGATTAAGCCCAATGAATTTTGAATATTATGGTTTGTATTGCATAATTATAAAAGATAAGTATCAACTTTAGGACGTAATGTAGGTTTATGAAATTTCTAGGTAATTGGGTTAGCAATCATTTTAGTTATTGCATATAATGTTGTAGTAGTGAGGAGAAACGGCAGTGATCAAATTTTATCGCTTAAAGGAAGATTTTTTATATTGGTTTTTAAAACTGTCTACTGAATTGGCATTTTGGATATCATTGGGAAGCTTATTCCAATTAACCGCTCCAGCATACTTAAAAGATTGTTTTAATAAGGTTACGTTGGGTTTTGGCAATACTACATTAAGAGAGTTTGCATTTCTTGTATTTAGGCCATGGCGGTCGAAATACATTTCTATTTCGTTTGATAAACGAGGTGGAGCAACGCCCCTTATACATTTAAACATAAGCATATAATAATAATAATATTGGATCCTTATATAGCGCACGTATCGACCTTGCAAGGTCCTCAAGGCGCTCAAACATATAGCCAGAAAATAATCACGGTGCTGATCAATAGTTTGCCAGGACAGTTGATTTTTATCAATGTGCTGCCGCTTGCAAGTTAATAGTCAGAGATACCAGTTACATATCTAGCAGCTCTTTTCTGTAATCTCTGAAGGGGCAGCTTGTAGCTGGCTGGGCAATTTCCCCATACAGATATTGCATAGTCTATACAGGGTTGGATTACACACTTATAAAGGGTGTTCAATAGTTCTGGGATTAAGAATTTACTCAGCTTTCCTAGAGAATAGATTTTATAGGCAATAGATTTACATAAGTCTCTTAAATATACATTCCACCTCAAATTTTCATCAATCACTATGCCTAAATATCTTATAGATTTTACCTGTTCGATCAGTTCATCTTTTATGAATATATTTAGTATATCAGAGGATCTTAATTTTATAAGCATTGTTTTGGTTTTACTTTGAAGTTTTGAAGTTTTATTTATTCCACATTTTACATAGAAAAACAGTTTATATTTTTTTCTTTTGTATACAGGCGTATATTATTATACGAATAGTTTTCACACAAGAAAAGAAAAACATTTAGAGATTTCAAATCAAATATAATTTACGGAAAATAAGTACGAAATTTCGAAATATGTATAAATAAATTGTGTTAATGCGTAATCGATTTTGTTTATACCAATTATTTAGAGCATTAAAGGTAATACAAAGTTTTGGGAAATTTTGAAAATTGGGTGGACAGTGATTCTTTACAATTTTGATATATTTGGATGCCCCTGTGGATGTATTATAAGCACTAGCAAATTTAGCCCCTAAAACACTTCTGCTTTCGAGAAAAATTGAATATAAAAATTTACCGGTGCTCCCGGTAAATTTTGAAAAATTTCAAATAGCGACTGCGGCCGTACAATGGTAGCTACGACCATGAAAATCTCAGAATATGTAGTTGTGATATCTACTTACCAAATGGGAATAGCTAATCTGTAGATTTTTGTCAAGAAACATTGTTTATAGCTTAATTAATATCTTACACTTAGAGGGAGCTATACAACATATATAGTTTATAATTTACAATTTCATAAGTTTAGACTCGATTTTAACCGCGACATTGATCACTGAATATTGTAGGATCAAATATGCTTCCAATATGTTCATTAGAACCAAATTCATGACCCCATACCAAAACTTTGTATTACCTTTAATATCTCTTTGTAATTTCTTTGTAACACCATCTAGCTTACTATCTGCAACAATGACTACAACGTCATCAGAGGGGGGGGGGGCGATGAGGGAGGGGGGGGGGGGTAGTGAGCATAATTTTTTGTCGTATTTGCCCCCGAAAATGTGAAGATCGCGCCTACAAATATTTCGCTCAGTGGGGGGGGGGGGGGGGTAGTGTGCATAATGCCAACGCCCCCCTCCCTCATCGCCAGTATATCTACTTTAAATATTACCTCTTAGTCAATAATAATCTCTAACTATCAATAATCTATAAATATTTGAAATGCAGGCTTTAAAAATACGAAAGAAAATGGGCACAGTTTCATTATATTCACAACCATTACCAGAAGAAGCGTTTTCTTCCCATGTTAAAACAACATCAGCAATTACAACAGATCCCTATTTCATTAAACCTCTTTATATAGCAGCAATATAAAAAAGATAGATATTAGGGAAACAAAGACAAATGTCGGTCTCGTTGACTACTTTTTAACAAAGTTTCTTATTTTCTATATGTTTTCAGTATTTCTTCGTTTTCTTTCTTCGTAGGCCGTCTAGCAAACATTCTGGAAAGTGGCAAGAAAGCCCCGGAGATTGAAATTACGGGTCTAGTGGGCTGTAGCCAGCTTTTTCCGATCCATTTCTCTGCACAAATTCTGTTATATCTCCTCAAGCTCTTATCTCTGTGTAATGAAAGCTTTAGAACTAAAGAGAAATCTATGATCAAATATGTCTCATTTTGCTATAAAACTCTGGCTGATGAAAACTTGTTTCATTATCAAAACTTTAATGATCTAAATAATTATACGTAACGAATTGATAAAGTGCATAGTTATTCTTATTACATAATACACCGCTATATATACACCGCAGCTGCACCGATGCCCTTTCACCAGTCAGATCGGTCATCAGCGAAGGATGAGGTGGAGAAGGGTACCGACGATGATGACGTACGAGGTAACGGTGGTCAACGATGCTGAGCAAGGGAGGCCTAAATCATTGGCATCGTCGGGATCGTCGTACTTCACGATCACAGAACTACATATGTCAATCGAGTATGATGTATCGTATATAGCTATGAATAAAAACAAGATGACAGTAAAGTTATTTTTATAATGGGTCTTATTTACCCATGGTAGCCACATCAGTATTAATACTGCTCTTCCTGCGGGCACTGCAATTATGCCTACTGGTAACTATATTTAAGTCTGATTATTCTACGGTGGCCTCGTCTGTTTGGAGCCAGAAGGGCGTTAACTCGTATGCTTCAAATAGTTATAATACCTTTTTTCTAGACAGTCGGCCTAATAAAAGTAATAATACAGTGCTCTTCTTTATAGAGCCCTGCAATTATCAATATTGCCCAAGCATTGTCAGATATCAATTTAATGTATGCGAGTCGAGGAGATAAAATCTGTTGGTACAAACTATTTTTCTACGATGTGAGCACCGCGCGAGCAAGACCAAATGCGAAAAGATTGTATCATAACAAAAGTCCACTTGATTTTGATATCATGTTTTATCGATTGTACAATTTTTTTTTTATCAGACTCAGGACTACACACATTCAAGAAAGAAAGATTATCGAGAGTCCTTTCAGGACTTCCCACTCCTCCCTCTCTATCACATGGTGCAACCGCTAGCCTACTGTACTTTCAAGTAAATTGTTTCATACTAGCTGTCAGATTATCTAAATCAGAATACCAGTGTCAGCTGCACACGAGGCGTCATTTGCTTGACGTAAGACTGCGTCAGCAATTGATTATGACGCGTCATATGAGAACAACTTCGTACACAAATGCTAATTGAACAGAGCATACGTTTACTGTGCGACTCCTTCATAGGCACGCGTAAGCTGCCTGACTTATGATTGCGCCAGTGTCTGGTGTGATGTTTGACGCACCATTTGAGTGTCAAGCCGTCTGAAAAGGGATACTGAAATCAAAACGGTACATGTATGTTGCATTGTTGGCATATTTGCTAATTGCCTTCTTTAGCTTCATTTGCGGACGTATAATAACGCAATCGAAAAGATTAACGCATCGTGTGCCACGGGCATCAGATTATAATTGGTGCTATGTCAGTATATTTACATCCGGAAATCAGGTACGTCGAACCCGGCTTCAAACCATCCACTCCGCAGGAGTAGCCGGGATTCTCGATATCAATAGTCCCATTAACCGCGATGCTGTTTGAGGAGTTACGGTACACCTCTTGTACATGTACGCTGTAAACCAAATTTTCCTGTGTCAAGGCATTGCGTTGGACAGCTAGAATCGTTCCTCTGATAGCTGTTGACGAGCAAGGGAAAGTATTCACAATTCATTCCAAAAGTGTCTTTCTGCTCTTCGAATACACAGGAGTCATGACGTAAGCCAAAAGAAGGCCTATGCCTTTCTGAATTATGCATTTTAGCCACTGGTTATAATTATAATATTGTGTTTTTATCTCGTAATATCGATTGTAAAATCAAGGACAGCTAGAACCAATTAACTAAAAATGAGATAAACAAAGAAGGTAAATATCCTAAAACTCGACAATTTGTTTAGGCAAATATCCAAACTAGGGTTTAATAAAGGAAGGTCTAAGCTTTCCATTTGTTAAACGTGATTTTAGAATGATGATACGGAGAAACCTGTCTATAATGACCACCCGAGGGAGACAAGAAAAGTGGTTTTTATAGACAGGTGGTCTTCATGTACAGGTGCCATTAGTACATGTTTCAATGAGAAACCATTTTTCAAGGGAAACAAAAAACGTGGTCTTTTTATACAGGTGGTCACTAAAGCAGGTTTGACTGTATTACCAAAGTCTGACATGCAGAATCTTGGACTTCGATCACAAGAACATCCTGTTGCTTGGTGCAACATGGCAGCCAAGAGCACGATGAGAGTGGAGGAGACCAATTGTGTTGCCATGGCTACCAATTATGACACTGTTCGGCTTTGATGGTTTCCTGTAAAAAAAAACAAAAAAAAACATGTGAATAAAAACCGTCAAAAAAGTATTTATGAAACTTTTCCGTGACACTTAAAAACAAACTTGAACCCAAAACACACACACGCACGCACGCGAACACACACCCACAAGCACAACAACAGACTAGTGATGATTCTATATAGGATAGTGATCATAATTAAACAGTAGCTGGCCCCCATAGCAAATATCGCATACCAAAGGCATACCTGCCAACATTTGAAATAAGAAGTAGGAATTTTTAGCATGGTATGCCTTCAAAAATAAGAAGTCTCACTTGCAGGGCCAGTGAAACCGGCAATACGCGGTAAATCTGTACCAAAAAACGAATACAAATTTGCTGCTCGATCATGCAGTCATTAAACGCACACAATATGTGAACTATCAAATCGCGGGACATGATTAAATTAGCTTAATTTGGCTTTAACACACACACACACACACAACAACAAATTTTGAAAAATCGGAATATTGATTTTCAGGTCCTAGAAATCCAGAAAAACGGAATATTCCGGATTATTCGTAAGGATTGGCAGGTATGCAAAGGGGATTGATGGTTGAACCAGGGAGTTGTGAGTTTAAATAAACCTTAGTATGTACAGTGCCTAAAAAATCCCGCTAAAACTTGGGACGTGAGAGAATCCCGGAGAGAACCCCCGGGGGCGGGGGGGGGGGGTACTCACGTATATTGGGTATACGGGGATGTGCCGCTCGGAAAAGTAACTTTTTCAGGAAAGATCCTTAGACATGGGTCCCCTTTTTATTGAAAAAAAAACCTTCGACATGCGTCCCTTTTTTCATTTATTCCTTTCTCCTCTTTTCTCCCTCATTTTCTCCGGGATTTGGGGATTTGCTCCTAAATACTCGAGTCTACATTGTAAATGCTTAAATCTCTCCCATCTCTAAATAAATCCGGGGCCTAAACAATATTGGGGAATCCTTCAGTGATTGCATTTCCCGTGTACGAGGTGTACGTAGCTCGTAAACCCAACTAGACCCCGGGGAACCACATATATCAGGACCCCATGGGCCCTATACCGGGTACTCATAATGGCATAATGCGCGTTAGGTATGGTATCCGCCCGTATAGGGGTAGTGCCTACGGGAACTTGTAGCGCTTCGCGCGCTGAAAATGATATGATCGGCAGCTATACCCTGCCCTTACCCTATGCCCAGCAGCCGGCAGGCCAGCAGCCCGGTGTTTTCATCTTTATGTGTGTAAACTACTTGTAAACTAAATGTATTATGGTATTTTACTAATAAAGAATTTTATCGAGAAACTGCAAAATGATTGGCCATTGTATTATTACAGCTAAAAAAATGTAATATTTAAAGTTTGAAATCCTTAGACATGGGTCCATTTTTCACAAAAAAATCCTTAGACATGGGTACCTATTTACAGCAAAAGGACCTTGGATGTGGGTATGGGTTCTGAGGTCTCAGCCGCACACCCCCGTCCGACTATAATCTGAGTACCCCCCCCCCCCCCCGGAGAGAATCACGGATCCGCCAATACATACCATGAATAATCTCTACACCCCGTTTACCCTTTTAATTCGTATCATGAACGCCATGAAGCCAAATCGCTTCAGGAAGTGTTATTTCATTGAAATTTATTATCGATGTCGTGGTATTATAATGCGCCTGATATAGACTGATTGAAATCTAAAGGGAACTCTACACTGCATTTATCATCCATGCTTGTGCACTTATGTACACAAACGCATGCACAAAGCACGTAATACCATAATACTCCTTTGTGTATACAAATGCAGTTCCCCCGTATATATAATTACCTGTCAATGTGCAGTTACATGCAACCTGAATCCAACCTCACATCGATGGGCTGTGGATAAGTCATGGCCTTTTCTTGTTGCAGGACAATTCACATCAGAAAATACAGCAAATAATACAATAACCAACCAGTCAATGAACAGCCTGAAACGGTTATAGAACGGTATTTTATCCTTGAACTTAATTTGTCTAACTTGCGAGAGTGCACAGCGGTATGTACTAAATCAACAAGTAGCGTCACATAAGTTCTCTGTATTGTTGTTGATCCATATCCCATTATGTGCTTATTTCGATTTCAAACAGACACGCTGGAGAATTACAACAAAAAAAGAACAAGACCTCCGCTCGTGCTTATGATACGTTACACAAGCGTTTAATCGCAAATGATTAAAGGGAGACATGCAATCATACATCGCCGGATTAAGCGCAATGCAAGATTTAGAGTAAAATATATAAGGAATGCGGTATTAAGTAAAAGATTTTATATACCTCACTTAAGAAATTCAGCCATCTGATTGGTCGAAATTGCAGTCATGGTTTTAGCCATTCCCGTAAATAAACGAAAAATGCCACGCCCATGTAATAGTTCGAGGGTAAAATTCAAGTTACCGGGAATAGTTCACGGTCTTGCTTAAAAACTGGTTTGAGCGATCGCGTATACCATACATATTATTGTGCGTGTGCGAAGAATTGGTCGCTAGACAGCAAGAACACCAAGGGTAGGCCCTACGTTTTATTATTAGCCGTAGATCTAGATTGTGATTTTATTGCTTGCGATATCGGTGATACAGGTATTGAAGATTGTAAAATGCAAGTGTTTGAATTCATTTGGTGGATGAAAAGTTGAATTCTACGCCGTTTTGTGCGTCATTGCAGCGCTGAATTTGGTGTGTTTGTCGCTAATTTCTGACAAATTTAGATAGCTTTCCTGATGGTATTTCATGCAAAATTTCTGTTATATGGATAAGCACTTATTCTTGTCCTTACCTTTGACTTGTTTCTTGTCTGTTATAGTCATGCATTTAATAGATGAATTACTTGAATTCTGAGCACAAATAAGAAACACAAAAAATCCAGCCCGTTCACAGTCCCACACATGTATTTGTATGTACCTTGTGCCCTTACACTGTCTGCTGTCTCGATAGCGGAACAAACTTGATTACCATGATTGGTAAGCCGCACATGTATTCCATGACCCTTTCAAAGCGTTTTCTTCCCATGTTAAAAAAACAACAGCAATTACAACAGCGCCCTATTCCATTAAACTCTTTAATATATAACAGCAACATCAAAAAAGATATAGCCTATAATAAGGGAAACAAAGACAAAATTCGGTCTCGTCGACTATTTTTTAACCAAGTTTTATTAATTTCTATATGTTCTTCATGGGCCGTCTAGCTACATTTCTGGAAAGTGGCTCTGGTGGGCTGCAGCCAGCCTTTTCCAATCCATTTATCTGCACACACTTCTGTTATATTTCCTTGAGCTCTTATCTCTGTGTAATGAAAGATTTAGAACTAAAAAGTAAAATATGATCAAATATGTCTCATTTTGCTATAAACCTCGGGCTGATGGAAACGTGTTTCATTATCAAAACCGTAAAGAATTAACAACAAATTATTTACAAAGATCAAATATGTCTCATTTTGCTATAAACCTCGGGCTGATGGAAACGTGTTTCATTATCAAAACCGTAAAGAATTAACAACAAATTATTTACAAAGATCAAATATGTCTCATTTTGCTATAAAACTAGCTGGCTGATGAAAACGTTTTTTCCTTATCAAAACATTAATGATCTACATAATTATACGTAGCGAAATGATAACGTGCATAGAGTTATGCTTATTACATAATACACCGCTATATATATACACCGCAGCTGCACCGCTGCCTGTTCACCGGTCAGATCGGTCATCAGCGAAGGATGAAATGGAGAAGGGCACCGACGATGATAACGTACGAGGTCACGGTGGTCAACGATGCTGAGCACGGGAGGCCCAAATCATTGGCATCGTCGGGATCGTCGTACTTCACGATCACAGAACTACATATGTCAATCGAGTATGATGTATCGTATATAGCTATGAATAAAAACAAGAGGACATTAAAGTTATTTTTATAATGGGTCTTATTTACCCATGGTAGCCACATCAGTATTAATACTGCTCTTCCTGCGGGCACTGCAATTATGCCTACTGGTAACTATATTTAAGTCTGATTATTCTACGGTGGCCTCGTCTGTTTGGAGCCAGAAGGGCGTTAACTCGTATGCTTCAAATAGTTATAATACCTTTTTTCTAGACAGTCGGCTTAATTACGTAAGTAATAATACAGTGCCCTTCTTTATAGAGCCCTGCAATTATCAATATTACCAAAGCATTGTCAGATATCAATTTAATGTATCCGAGTCGAGGAGATAAAATCTGTTGGTACAAACTATTTTTCTACGATGTGAGCACCGCGCGAGCAAGACCAAATGCGAAAAGATTGTATCATAACAAAAGTCGACTTGATTATGATATCATGTTTTATCGATTGTACAATTTTTTTTTTATCAAACTCAGGACTACACACACTCAAGAAAGAAAATTATTGAGAGTCCTTTTAGGACTTCCCAATCCTCCCTCTCTCTCACATGGTGCAACCGCAAGCCTACTGTATAAACAAAGTCATTCTCATTATTGATATAAGAACAAATGTGACTTTCAAGTAAATTGTTTCATACTAGCTGTCAGATTATCTAAATCAGAAAACCAATGTCAGCTGCACACGAGGCGTCATTTGCTTGACGTAAGACTGCGTCAGTGACTGGTGCTGTCTTTGATTATGCTGCGTCATGAAGAACAACATCGTACACAAATGCAAATTGGATAGAGCATATTCGTTTACTGTGCGACTCCTTTATAGGCATGCGTAAGCTGCCTGACGTATGTTTGCGCCAGCGTCTGGTGTGCTTTTTGACGCACCATTTGCATATAGCTCCGTTTAGTCTCATTTCACAACGCCCCCTATCGTCAGAGTCAGCAGCCTAACATCTTAGCCTATGGAATTTTACAAACAAAATCGTTAAAAAAAAATTGTTTAAACGAAAAGCACATCCACCCCGACGTACGTTATCACTAGCTCTTTCATTGGAACCCTCATGTCCCATTGACTTTTGAAAGTTCACCCACCGTAATTTGATCAAAATAGGTTGCAAGCTCGTCATTGCCTATAATATACATGTGAATCAAGTCGAGCTTTGGACTCAGTTTGCCAAGCGATTTTAAGATTATAGGTCAAGCACACGAAGGATAAGAAGCATGAATTATCATAGATCACTTCTGCTTGGTTCATTATGTCCATTTCATCCAACCCCCATCGTAATTTTTCCATTTAGTAAAAGCAAACATTTTGCCGAGGTAAGCAAAAACATGAATATTCATGAACGGTCAGACAATACAGCCTTTTAGTACGTAACGTATAGTCAATGGGAATGGGCGATGATCCGTCCAGGAGGTAGAGGTCAGTGGTTTGTGCTGGCAATGTTCCAGCGAGCGAAAATGAGACAATCGGAGCAATGTGAGTGTAAAACTGTCTGAAAAGTAAAAATGTAATCGAAACGGTACGTGTATGTTGCATTGCTGGCATATTGACTAATAATATTGCCTTCTTCAGCTTCATTTGCGTATGTATAATAACGCAATCGAAATGATTAACGCATCGTGTGCCACCAACTGCCACGGGCATCAGATTATAATTGACGCTATTTTAGTATATTTACATCCGGAAATCAGGTACGTCGAACCCGCCTCCAAACCATCCACTCTGCAAGTTAAAAATCTAGTCTCGATATCAATAGTCCCATTAACCGCAATGCTGTTTAGGGAGTTACGGTACACCTCTTGTACATGTACGCTGTAAACCAAATCTTCCTGTAACGGGACACTGCCTTGGACAACTAGAATTGTTCCTCTGATAGCTGTTGATATAGCAAAGGACGAGCAAGGAAACGTATTCACAAGTTATTCCAAAACCGTCTTTCTACTTTTCTTATACACAAGTATCATGACGTAAGCACAAAGTATACCTATACGCCTTTCTGAATTATGCATTTTAGCCACTGGTTATAAGATAACAATGATTATATTATTATGTTTTAATTTCGTAATATCGATTGTAAAATCGAAGACAAACCCAATTAATTACACATGAGATAAGTACACAACAAACGAAGGCAAACAACATTAAACTTGACACTGTGTTAAAGATAAAGACCGGTTATGGTCATGCGATAGCATTGTGAAAGAAACGTTGTGGAATCGATCAGAAAAGGTTGATCATCTAGCATAGAAGTATTGGTGTGTACTGCAAGGTTCTGAAATAATCAAAATGATAAGAAATTTGGCCCAGTCTTCGTAAAGTTACAATCACTGTACACAGAAAGATGTATATGGGACTACGCACATGTGCGCGACACGTGCGTTTATCTCTCACACACCAATAGATAAACTAATTTACCAAATATATCAATTAGTAGGCGGTTTCCCGGCAATTTTGTTATCATCATGTATTAGTCAAAACATACTCTTTCACATGATTGGTAATAAGATCTTCCATTTCATTTTTTGAAATTGGGGCGTTTCCAATACTGGTCTTTACCTTTAAGGCAAATGTTAAAACTCAGGTTTAATAAAGGCAGTTAATTTGAGGTCTCAGCTTTCAACTTGTTAAACGTGATGGTAGAAAAAAATGAGGGGGTTAAACTGAATCAATATAATAAGGACCATTGTGTTCAATTTAATGTCAGTGTCATGCCGAGTTTTATAATATTAAATAATAATAATAGGTCTTAATAGTTTAAACATATTTGTGGCTTACACCCAGTAAATAAGATCGATTGATCGATCTGTAATTGAAAAACAAGTCAGAAAAAATCTTGGAACGAGCGGAATTTGAACCTGCCATCTACTGCTTGCCGGGCAGCGACTCTACCACCAGGCCATCACTGGTCCATGGCACAGTCACGATGAACTAGAAACAAATACCCAAAGCTCTCCTGATTCATTCTGACTTATTAATATTCATTAGTCCGCCATAGGACAATAACTTTTATAAAACTATTTAAACTGTTTAAACTATTGAAATGTCTCCAAGGAAGCATTACATTTATAAAAACAATAGGTCTATTTATACAGGGTGAGTCAGAAAGAATGTCCCACTTTTTAAAAGATGTATTGTTTGAAGTATGAATATTTAATTATGGGTTTAATGATATGCCTTGATAGAGTTATTCCCCCAGTAAATTTAGGTACCATTTTCATTTGAATCCCTTCACGCATGACTGAACATCAGACAAACTTTACAAGACTGCCAGATTTCACTTGCGCCAACTTACTGGGTGAGGAATAAACAGTGCATTGAACAAAGACAGGCAGACAGACAGACACACACACAAGCACACACACACACACACACGCGCACGCACAC